CTTGTCCCAGTGCCTTGTGCTCTTTGCTCTGAGGTGGAAGGATACGGGGGTGACATTTATTCAGCCCTTTACGATGAAATAAATGTTCTGTGAAATAGTTCTGCCAACATGAGATTTCTATGAATAGTCCGCCTATCAAAATCAATTCTGTAAGATGTGTGTGTGGAGGGTAAGTGAGCAGCCAGTCCTGTCTATTTCCAGACTCTAAAGCTAGAAGTCACCTTTCTGGGTCGAGCCGTAGCGTTGCGGGGATGTGAGCGTCGGGTTTTCCAGAGGGGGTGCCCAGAGCAAAGTCCCCGAGAGTTTAGGTTTTTCACTCTGACTCCTGTTATCTAGTAGCAAGGTAACTTGCAGTATTCGGAAAACTGATCCTGACCAAAAAGGGTATGGTGGGTTTTATCTCTCCCGGCCTCCCCACGACGGAATACGCTCCAGGAATGGTTAGGGGGCTTTCTTAATGGCTCAAATGAGCATTATGCATACACGTAGAGTTAAATCTAGATGTTTGCTTGTCCGTAAGCAATCAGTTTGTGTTTCAAGTGCACAAACTTGATGTGTCCTGTTTTCTTGCCTTGCTTAAAAGGAAAAAAAAAAAAAAGCCTTGAATGCTCCCCCTCCAGCACACTTTGGGGAGCCCAGAGGAGTTTCGGATGCGAGCTGGGGAAGATGGCATATAAGGAGAGTGAAGCCGGGCCAGGGTTTCCTGAGCAAAGGCTGCGTTTTCCTGCTTGCAACAACCTGACCGCAAGGAGGGCGGCGTGACCTGGATGCAGGTGCCCAACTCGGAGGGGAGACGGGGGCCGTCTTCCCAGCTCGGCTCCTGCCCTCCGGGCAAGCCGTTTCCTCCTTTTGTACCCCGTCTTCCGCTCCCAGGCTTTGCCTGTCTCTTCTCTTTAATGGAAGAGTATTTTCAGGCAGGGGCAAACTGGCGGTGCGGCTGACTGGCAGCGCCCAGCGCAGTTAATCCGTGAGCTGCGCTGGGGCTGCGAGCGCTGCACTGACACAGACAGACACAGTTGAGCAGAACTGCGCTAAATATGCCCATTATAAGTTTTCTTTTTGTTACAAAAAGAAAAACAGCCTCGGGTTGTTAAGCCTGTCTCGCCCAGCGCTACGATTTAAATTCACTAAATAGAGTAGCAGGTTTTGCAGCCGTAACCATGGAATCGAGTTTCATAGCTGATGCAATTTGACGTGCACTTTTCTTTACCCAAGAGGAATCCTTAGCTAACAGTGCCAAAGTTAAGCGTACCTTGTATCGTCGCCCCCCGCCGTTGGCTTTTTTGTTTGAACGCTCTGTTTGAGACACATGCTGTCGGTGTGTGCGTTTGAAGCCTGCACGGGTTTAGCAGGCGCGGGCGGCGGGGCCGGGTCCTCTGCAGGTGCCTTCACTGTCACGCGGGAGAGGAGCTGGGGGCCAAAGGTCTGGCTGCTGCACTGAGACAACCCCAAAATTCATTCGTCTTGTCATTCTGGTATGCACGTTTCAAAGCAACGTTTGCCGTGTTAGCAGTGAGACAAGGGGAGATGTGATGGTTTCTGGAGCGCCCGTCGTCCCCTGGCCACGGAGAAGGCAACTCAAACAGGACTCCAGAAACAGTTGCAGGGGTGCAAAGGACGCTGCTTTATCAGACCCAGCTGCATGTCTGAGAATATTTTCATTTGGCTTTGGCATGTTGCCTTGACTGAAGATGCTTTTTGAACGAGGGTTTTCGTTTAAGATTGTGGTGGAGACAGAGTCTGTACAAATGGCTTTAATAAACCCGCTCGGCTGGAATATGCCCATTTTTAGCTGGTGCGATGGTCTCTCCGCAGGGTTATTCCTGGGAGAATCCCAGCACGCATCTCTGCAGCAGGGTTTGGGTAACAGGCCAGAGGTTAACTGGCCCGAAAGCTTAAATGAGGGATAAAAAACTCAAATTTTAGGTGGAAAGTGCTAAGTATATTTTCAGTAGAATATCTCCCTTGAGAAATTCATTCTGAGAAGGAAGATATGCTCTGTTAGAGGCCTGCAGTTGTGCGTGATGGGGTGCAACTTTCCCCTAGAGTTGCAAAACCCTTCAGCCTGCCTCAAGTCCGCTTCAGCTGCACGAACAAGAGTTTCCAGGCTCACGAGTTAGGCTGGCGTGATGCTTTTGCCCGGCAGCCCCACAGACGTTCTCAGGAGCGAGGTGGGTACGTGTGACGGGTCGGAGCTCCTGCTCTGAACAGCCCGGCCGAGGCCAAGAGGCAGAGACGTCCCCCACTCTGCAGATGGGGAAATGAAGATCCAGAGATGAAGTGACTTGTCCTGAAGCGGGTGGGAAGTGTGTGGCAGATTGAGGAATTGAACCTGAGGCCCAGTCCAGTGGTCTTAACCGCAAAATCCTTCCTCTCGGACTAAATGATTTTTTTCACATTTATTGCACTTCTTTTCTAGCAGGAGGAGAAAATGTATCCGGGGAAGAGTGACCCACTTGTATGATGACTTGAGCAAAACTTTCTTGAAAAATTCATTAGTGTTAAGTAGGAAGTATTTTAAAGGCATATCGAGATAAGAGTGAGGGTAGACAGGTGAAGTCGTTTAAATTGCATACAAACTAGTCAAGTTCCAGGTATTTGTTACTGCTCCAGCATTTCTGTTATCAGCCGTGTGGCAGGCTGTCTGATGCAGTCACTGTGTGCCATAAATTTGAAGAAAAACAGGATGTTTGTGGAATAGAGGAGCGCATTTCGCTTGCTTTGCGCTCTCGTCTCCGACCACGCGGCTGTTTGTGTTCCCACGGCCATCGCCTTTCAGGCAGCGCTCCCTGTTGCAGTTCTGAAAAGGAGTTCGTTGCGCATCCTCAGCATTTAAATCTTAAGTGTGCCCAGTTGCCTGATGAAATGCTGTGTTTTTCCATAAAACGAGGAACTTTTTGTACCGTTTGACTGAAACTTTAAAGCTCACCTTTTCCCTCCCTCCGCTGCTACACGCAGGCATGTGCATTTGCATCAGTTCTTCTGTACGTTTTGAGATTGATCAGTTATTTGGCGCTAACCTTTTTTGCAGCGATTTCTAAATGTTTGTAGAAATAAATGAAACGGGTGATGCATATTAAAGTGCTGCTCTAGGCTATAGGCTTTACTATATTCTGAACAAAGATACACTGGGAAATCAAGTAATGTTATCAAAACAGAAATCA